GCCTGGCCATTTTCACGTTATGCAGAACTCGACGGCCCACTGGGTGGAAACAGTCACTGGTGCATGCAACCCTCTAGACTCCCACAAACAGTAAGCGGCGCTAACGGTGACTTTTATGGGAGCTGGGTGTGCCGCCACAGGACTGGGTGCAACCGGCGTAGAGTTGTTGGTGGCGTTCGTGCCCGCAACGAGCCGCCCTCAGCAGGTCAACCCGCTGGTGCCGCTCCTTCAGGTGACCTACGTCGAGAACCCCTCCGCAGAGGCGGATGGGGTGGGCCACCGTGCCGACTTCGATCTGTGCCTGGAGGCCGGCGCGAGCGTGGCGGAGCACGCCCAACAGCTGCTGGGCCTGATGGCTGCCGGCGCCTCGCGTGCCTACACGCCCAAGCTCTTCCTGCAGGGCAACGTGGACTTTCAACTCACTCGTGGTGATCTGGGAGTGTCCCTCTGATCGTCAATGTTGTCCACACAAAATAGGTATTAGCCCACGGGTCACCCGCCACGTCTGCGGCTTTGGTGAAGAGAAAAAAATAGCCAACGGGAAATCAAACGTCGCAGGCCCTACTTCGCCTAAAAGAGGGTCTCGCGCGGACGGTGTTGTTGCCGCGGGAGAGGACAAAGTTGTAGAGAGAGCGAGTTTTGGAGCCGAGGCCGCCACAGGTTAGAAGCACAAAAGTCGACTAGAAGCCGTCGAAGGCACTCACCGCAGCGCCTTTAAGCCATGTTCAGCAGCAGCAGCAGCAGCAGCAGCAGAAGTAGCAGCAGGCAGGACTTGTCCTCTGGTGCCCCCCCCCCCCGGGGTCCATTTTGGCTTTTGGTTTTGTTGTTGTTGTTGTTGAGCTTAACATGTGCGTGCTTTCTTTCTTTTTCTGCTTGCAGCCCCCTCCTCCCCGTCGCTGTCGACATCGCCACCGTCGTCGCCGGCGGTAGCGGCCAAGAAGCCCAAGCGGCAGTACTCGGAGGCCACCTGGCCCGACCCAACGGCACCGCCTCACGCCTCGCCGCAGGTGGACGATGTCTCGCGGCTCAACGCCACCGACGTCGAGCGCGTGTTCGAGGTTCGCACGCCGGCCGACATCAAGGCCATCCTGCGCTGCGCCGCGGCAGAGGGCCGGCAGGTGTCGGTGCGCGGGACACAGCATTCGATGGGCGGCCACACCATCGCGCCCGGCGGCTTCGTGCTGGACATGCGCCACTTCGACCGCCTGGCCTATGATCCGGCCACGGAGCTCGTCTCCGCGGGCACGGGAGCCCACTGGACCGATCTCATCCACTACCTCAACCAGTTTGGCCTCTCGCCGCGCACGATGCAGAGCTACTCGAGCTTCTCCGTGGGCGGTACGGTGAGCGTCAACGCGCACGGCATCACCACCGACCACTGCCTGGCTGAGTCGATCGTTAGCTTTACCCTCATTACTGCCGACGCGCGCGAGGTGGTGTGCAGCCGCACGGCCGAGGCCGACGACGCGCGGGAGCTGTTCTCGCTGGCCATCGGCGGCTACGGCCTGTTCGGCATCATCACCGAGGTCATGCTGCGGGTCAACCCCAACCTCCACCTCGAGCTCGACCTCCTGCGTGTGGCCCCGAAGGACTTTGGGCGCGTCTACCGGAGCCTGCTCGCCGCCGATCCGGACAAGGGCGGCGACGTCGACATCAAGATGGCCCGGCTGGACATCACCAACCTGGAGCACATCGAGCTCTACGTGTTCCGGCGGGCCTCGCCGGTGCAGACCGTGTCGCCGCTCGATCTCAAGCCGCGCGAGATGTCGCTCAGCTCGCGACTCATCTACAAGTGGCTGGCGCCCACGCTCCAGGAGCTGCGGTTCACCGTTGAGCGCACGCTAGGCACCGCCTTCGACTGGAGCCAGACCAACGAACGCAACGCGCTCATGTACGAGAGCGCGGTGCCGCTCGCGCGCCTCTATTCGCCCCTGCTCCACATCGATGACACCTTCATCCTACAGGAGTACTTCGTGCCACAGAAGTCGTTTCTGCGGTGGGTCGAGCAGGCTAAGCCTATCTACCGCCGCATCGCGCAGCACTCGCTCGTGAGCCTCCTCAACACCACCATCCGCTTCGTGCACCACGATACCGAGACCGCGCTGGCCTACTCCCGCAGCCCCGAGGGCGTCTACGCGTTCGTCCTCTACTACCGCATCCGCCGCACGGCCGAGGCCGATGAGGCGCTCCGGCGGTTCCACGAGGAGCTCACCGAGGTCACGCTCAGCGTGCGCGGCACCTTCTACCTGCCCTACCGCCACCACTACTCGTTCGAGCAGCTGGAGCAGGCCTACGGGCGCGACACGCTGCTCAGCTTCCTCGAGCGTAAGGAAAAGTATGACCCGGGCTGCCTCTTCTCCTCCCTGTGGCTTCGCAAGTACGGCTCGGCCTACGCCTCCGACGCCTACCGCCAGCTCATCCTCAGCTCCAAGTCGGCTTCCCGCGCTGCCGCCTCCTCGCTGCTGACGTCGGCAGGCAAAGTCGACGCGTCGTTCGAGATGCCCCTGGTGAGCGAGCGCCGCACGGACTCGTACCGGCGCCTCTTCCACAACGCCCTGTTGCGGCGCCAGTTCTTGGAGGAGTTCCTCGTACACGTATTCAACATCGAAGACCCCAGCACCCTCTTCCGGCTCATCTCCCAGGCCGTGTGGGAGCCCGACAACGTCACCGACCTCGACGTCTACGCCCACCTGCAGGCTGCCCTCGCCACGTACGCACCGCACCTGCTACTCACAATCTCCTCTCAAACTAGTTTGGGCCTGACGGGCGGGCGGCTCTGACTGTGCGGTTTGGAACCAGGGAAAACGCGGGTCCGGTCAACATGCTGAAGAAGACGTGGCGCCAGCTGAAGCAACTGCGGGAGCAGAAGGACGAGATTGCCCGAGAGACGGTCTCCATCATGTCGCGACTGGGCAAGATCGGCCAGTTGCACGACTACGTGAGCATCGGCGACAACGGCAAGATGGTGCTGCCTCTGCGCGAGGCGCTTGGCATGCGCGGCCAGGTGTGGGTCGTGCACGACGTGCGGCCCGAGAGCTCGGAGATCCCTGTCGTGCTCGAGCGCGGGAGCGTGGAGCCCCTCGGCCACTTCGTGCTTGTGGACTACCAGGACGTGACCACGCCGGGCTGGGCGATCCCGGACGAGTCGGCCGACCTCGTCACCATGAACCAGGGCCTTCATCACCTTCCGCAGACCGACATCATGAAGTTCCTGGGCGAGGTGCGTCGTATTCTGCGCCCAGGCGGCCTCTTCATCGTCCGCGAGCACAACGCCCGACCTGTCACACCTCCCAGCGTACCAGCCCCTTCCCTCTCCCATTAATCGTAAGTTCAAAAATTAGTCTAATCCTCTCTTCTCTTGTATGGCTGGTGTATATTCCACACTGGAACAGAAGGGACAGGCGCCCACGAGCGAGCTCGACCTGATCCCGATGCTCGACTTGGCCCACAGCGTGTTCAACGCGGTCACCGGGGTCTCCCTGCACGACGAACGCAACGAAGTGCGTGCGTTCCGCTCGGTGCTGGCGTGGCGCGAGATCATCGAAGCGGCTGGCCTGGTGGACACCATGGTGTACGAGGTGCAGGCCGACGACCCGACCGTCGACGAGATGATGTGCTTTTACAAGCCGCCCTTCACCCACTACGGCCCGCGAGACGACCTGCCTGAGCTCTCCGAGCTTCAGCTACCGGCTCCGCCCCCGTTCGTACCGGTGCTGGCCAACCTGTTCAAGCAGATCCCTGCCACCGCGCTCGACGTCCTGCGCACGACGATCGAGGGTCTCATCACTAACCTGCCCTCGCTGGCCAGCACACTGCTAGCCTACGTGGGCACCACCACCTCGCCGGGCGCGTCCCACGTCATCAAGCAGGCCATCGACCGTCTCACGGCCGAGGTCGCCACGTGGCTGGAGCGCTTCCGCCCCTTCATCGAGTCCTCCGACAGCGGCGACGACGCGGCCCTCAACTTCCTCCCTCCCGAGCTGTTTCTCATCGTGCCGGCCCTCAACAAGCGGGTTGCGCTAGGAACCGCCTCGCCCATGGAGATGGTCGCAGCCGCCATCCTGCACGACCTCCAGGTCGCCTTTGCTGCTGGACCGGCGGCGGCGGCGGACGACAACAAGGAGCTCAGCGAGTCAGCTCCTGCCAGCATCTCCACGCGCGGCTTCACGTCCGTCGACGTGACACAGAAGCTCACCACCCTCACGCGCGCCCTGCCTGGACTCCTTGAGCAGAGCGTGCTCGACGATATCGAGGTGCCACCGCTGGCCCAGCGCGCCATTCGCTCCTTCCTTGCCGCCTCCGCGTCGGCCAAGGAGTACGAGGCCGCCACCAGTGGTGTCGAATCACCACATGCCAAGACCGAGGACCGGTTCCTGCCCATCGGCGAGGGGGCAGTGAAATACCTGGACCTCCAGGCCTGGAAAGAGCTCTCAACCGCGCTGGACGAGATCACCAAGCGCCGGGTAGCGCCTCCACCCCTCCACGCCATCATCGCGGCGGCCGGGGCCAAGGAGAGCCTGCGCGGCACCGACAGCGCCGCAGTATGGGCTCGCGCCCTGTCAGCTGTGCTCGGCTCGCCGCTGGTCTACCTCACCCGCGCGCTGGTCTTCCAGTTGAGGCTGGTCGGCATCGACGGCGTCTACAAGGCCTGGGATCTCGCCCAAAAGCGGCGCAAGGCGACGCAGTGCGAGGCGCTCGCAGGTGCGGAGGACGAGGAATCGGCGAATCCGCTACTCGAGGCTCTCCGCCCGTTCACGGAGCCCCCTACCAACGACGCTGTCATGGAGGAGGGCCACTTCGTCGATGTTCATAACGTGGCCGAGGTCGTGTCGGCCACCTTCGGCTACACGAGCATCACGGCCAGGCCCACCGACGTGACCGCGATCATCGCCCGCCGGCTCAAGAACAACACCCTGCGGCTGGCCGACCTGTCATCGTCTAAGCTCCAGAAGCAGCGGGAGGTGGTGCCTCTTCTAGGCTTGGACCGGCTCCGCAAGGCGGTCACGCTCAACGTCTCTGAGCTGAAGATCCGGTACCGGCCGGTGCTGGAGACCGACCCCACCTACCAGCGCAAGGTCGACGAGTTGCTCCTCCAGCTTTCCGAGTCCGGCTGGGTCAAGCCGCTCCACCGAAACGACGGCCATTTCACCTGGTTCAAGCTCCCCGAGTGGATGCAGGTACTTTACCTTTAGCGCACGCACGCACGCACGCACGCACGCACGCACGCACGCACGCACGCACGCACGCACGCACGCACGCACGCACGCACGCATCTGAGTTTGTTGTCATCATGGAGCTCACGTCGCTTTGGGGGTTGTTGGCCAGGTCGAGATGGTGCAGATCTTCGGTGAGAGCATGAACCACACGCCGTGGTACCGCTTCCCGTTCATGCCGTTCATCAAGCTCTACTTCGAGGTTCTGCTCAAGGAGGTGGGCATCGTGCGGTCCGAGCACGGACTGGTCAAGGCTCTGTTCAGCAACGCCTTCCTGACCGACCTCATACCGGGCGTGGTCATGTTCGGCCTGTTCCTCCAGCTGCAGCTCCTCGCGCTGCCGGTCAAGTCGATCGGCGGCGAGGAGTACACGCCGGAGCTCATGGTCGAGCAGGTGGTCCTTCTCACCCCGCCGGCGGCCGCTTCATCGTCGCAGCCCATCGCGTGGCGCAAGATCGACAAGCGCATTTCGGCCCAGCAGGTGGCCGAGGGCGAGGGGCTCTACATTCTCACCGTGCCCACCTTCAAGCCGCTCACCGAGATCCTCCGCAAGATCGCCAGCAAGCTGCCGCAGAGCCAGGTGCTGGAGATCTCCAACCAGCGCGTCGTCCAGGTGAAGGTCCTCCTGCCGGCCAGCAGTGCCGAGACGGACGAGGACGAGGCGGCGCTCCAGGCCAAGCTGGGGGCGATCACCGGGTGCGCGGTCATGTTCACCTACCGCTTCCCGGTCGACGGCTCGTCCGCGTCTTCGCGCCCACGCCTGTGCGTCTCCCTGCGCGTCGCCACGCTCGCCGTCGTTCGCCTCTTCCAGGTGTGCGCCCAGCTTGGGGTCTCCGTCGAGCAGGTCTACGACTTCTACGCCTGATGATGATGGCGTCGTTTGTTTCCCGTGCTTCCCACTGGGCCACGACGTGGCGCCAGCAGGGAAAATAGACAAAATAAATATTAATTAGACTGTCGTTTCTTTCTACGTGCGTGCACGGACAACATAATGGAAGAAGCCGGCAGCACAGCTTCTCCGGCGACGAGGAAGAAGAGTGCGCTCTACACACGGACGGGCGATAAAGGTACTCCTACAGTGCATGGTGGTGGACCCGGGTGGTTCACGAACGATTTGGAAACGAATTTTAAAATTAAGATCAAGATTTGTGATACCATGCCAAACGAGATCTCTTACGGTGGTGGCTCATCAGGTGAGTCGAGTCTGTACACCGGAGAGCGACGAGCCAAGGACGATGCCATCTTTGAAGCACTCGGCACCATCGACGAGCTCAACTCGCACCTAGGGTATAGGACTTCTTTTCACCGGCGGCGTGCTGACAGACAGCACACGTGCTCCCCCCTACCCTCATGACTCGAGCGGTGCCGATGACACGCACGCGCACTCATGCACGCAGGGTAGCAAGCGAGTACTGCAAGCTGGCGGACAACGGCCTGCACGTCTACATCGAAGAGATACAGGCCCGGCTGATGGACGTTGGCTCTGCCGTGGCAACTCCAGAGACTTCGGCTACTGAGCCGCAAAAGGGTGCGCGGCGTGTCATCCCTCCCGATCTTTCCAGCAGCACCACCGTAAGTGAGTCTCACTCTTTCGGGGGGGGGGTCTCGACTTTCTTGGCAGCCAAAATGGCCTTTGGTATGGAGTACACAGAAGCCCTCGAAGAGTGGATCGACCTGCTCGACGGGCAGCTCCCCAAGCTCACCAGGTTCATTCTGCCCGTACGCACGCCCTTTCGGCTCGGCCCACCTTCCGCAGCAGTGGCATCATCCTCGCTCTCTCCTATTTTTTGGGCTGTGTTGCGTGCAGTCTGGCGGCATGAGCAGCGCACACTTGCACGTAGCCCGATCGGTGTGCCGGAGTGCGGAGCGGCGAGTCGTGACGCTGGTTCATCTCCGAACGACGGACTCGTCGGTCGCTTGTTATCTCAACCGGTAAGGATGTCGACCACTCACATGCATCTCCGCCTATTTTTACTCATTCCTTGTGTGCTGTTGTGACGGACGTGTGTGGTGGTGGCGTGTGCGTGTACGCCACAGGTTGAGCGATTTTCTCTTTGCCGCGGCAAGGTGCGCCGCAATGAAGGATGGCAGGGAGGAGACTACCTACAAAAAGGGTGAAGGCAAGAAGGTTCGACCTGTCCAAGCAAACGAGTAAAGTGAAGCTGCCTGTAAGAGCACACCGGTGAACATAAAATCACCTAAGGTGACTTACAACGCTCCCTTCCTGGAAGTGCCGCGACCTCAAGGCCCTGTTGCTGCGAGCGCTCGCTACGACGACATCACGCTGCCCAAGTTCAACTCGCGCGCGCGGCGTTGCAGTCAGCGAGCTGTTCCAAAAATTTCAGCTGAACAAAACGTTTGGCCCTGGCCCACTTTTTTACGCGGCAGCAAATGGAGACGGCACGCAAGTACAAGATAATCTTTGTCCACGTCGATGAAACGCCCCATTCGGTTCTGTTGGATCTCGAAGTCGAGTCGGTTGATCAATTGACCAAGGCGATCCTGAAAGAAGTCGTTGATGCTGCGGCCAAAACAGTTTACATCGTGGAAGAAGGAAAAACCGGTCTCCGTCCCCTCATCGACCTCCCGACGGGTCCCACGCTCTCTGTCCAAGTTCGCGCCACCATCGATGAGATCAAGGGTACGTTGTACACCATCTGAATGGTGTGGTTGTGGCATCGAGTAGCTAACCTCTTAGACGCGATTCGATCAGTGGCCACCCCCTTGACCAAAGGAGAGAGCGGAACACGAAGTTTGTCCTCCTTGGGATCGAACGAGTCCGGCTGGAGATCATACGCTGAGGCAAATAAAGCGCTTTCCACCTGGGTGGGCGCTTTCGGCAGGCCTGCACACCGTAGGGCGGCGCTAAACGCCGACTCAACCACACTGCTTACGACTCTAGAGCCACTTTTCGAGGTGCGCCCCTCTTCCCCTCCCCTGTCTCTGTTTAACTACAACAACAACAACAACAACAACGACAACAACAACAATGACATCAATATTGGAGGGACGAAGAAGGTGAGCAGCACTAATTTTCACTAATGTATATGAGCTTTCAGCTCGTGGAGTGCGACAGTGCAAGGATCAACAGTTTGTGGAAAGACAAGGTGGAGGCTGG